CCCCCCCCAGTATATATAATTCAATCAATATTGGTTCATTTCTTGCTGTCAAAATGGATAAGTAGTTGCTCATCCTGACATATCTGCCATACAAGTTTGGATATGTCCTTTTCTACATGTCTTCTGAAGAGCACTTGTCCTATAAGTACTACTACATGTGATTACGAGGTCATTTTAATTTATCCAGATACTATTTTGGTGCAGGTTGTTATATGCATTCAATCTTCAATCATTGATAACAAGTTGTTAACTGTCTATATTTGACTTCCAAGACATGTTATTCATCCCTTAATCTTGTATTTAGTGATAAAGATTTATTTTGTACTAAATATGTAATAAACAGATTTGCTTCGGCTTATCTTAAGATACAACATCTTATATTTATGCTTTAAATTTGCTGTATGAGATTGAGCTGGTTTAGCAACTGGTATTTCCCTTATTTCTTGATTTACTGACAGATTATAAAGATTCTGTACAGATTATGTAAGATCATTTTGACATTACTTCAAGTTGGCGCGCGTGCCAAATGCTTATGAGAAAGCCCGCAAGATAGAGATTAACTACCTGCTGCTTCTTTAATTACAAAAAAAGACTATTAATTTTATTACCATCTCAAGCCTGGATTGTGTATCTTAAGATTCTTGGACGGTCATATTGAAAAAAGATTTCCTTGGATGCTGGTGTTTCTGACTCTTTTTTGTTCTAACTAAAAATTCTCCATACTGTGGTTATTTTGTAACATTTGCTTCTAGTATTACTAGAATTGTTTACGCCGTTTCAAGCTAATAGTGCTTGTAGCATGTGGCAAGAACAAATTTTCATACTCTAGAAAATATTTCATCAATCTATTATCTCCCTCGGACTCCTAACAGTTGCTTTCCCTGGAAATTAAAGTAGAGAAAAATACTTGATCAGGTTCATCCAAGGGATGGTTTAGTTATAGAGATAATGAAGTAACAACCTGGAGGTCATAAATTCAAATTCAGTTGTAACACTAAATGTGAGCTCCAATCTTTGTGGACAGATTTATTCAACAATCACAGATAAAGAATTTGTCTATCTATTTTCTAAGGACAAATAAAGAATGGTAAAGATTTCATTTATATGCTTTTCTTGAAGGCTTTGTACATAAGTTTAATACTCTTTCCTAGCAAGATGCATAATGAAAAACAAAAACTGAAAATTCTAAGCTAGCTATAATCTGAAGCTCAGAATGCTACTTCTTGGTTCTTCATTTCATAAATTCAATCGAGAAGTCACGTCAACAAAATCATTCTCATTGCAAGGTATTGTTAGACCACTCGTTGGATGATGAAATCCAAACTCTTCTTCTGCTTTGCGTAACAAGTTCTGGAACGAAGGATGGTTCAGGTATGTTATTGGCACCACATATCGCTTCTTCTCAATCTCTCCGACATAAACTGCAAAATGTCCTTTAGGAACATCTGAATGATTCCTTTTAAGAACAGACTGCAATTTGTAGATTTGATTGGCACCGGAAATCATAGGTAACAAACGAAATCCCATGGCTTCTTGATATGTCAAGTATTGGGTGTTTGATAAAATTGTGGTTGAAGTAGGACTTGTTTAGATTGATAAAGATTTGTGTTTTGATCTAGAATTTGTTGTGAAGTTTTCACAGGAAAAGGTTATATTTATAGAGCTGCTTGCATATAGTTCCATCGCGTGTCAGCTGTAGTTTGCAGTAATTTCTAATTCCCTGTGAATGCATCAGCGTCAAGTGGTCAATTCAAGTGGCTAAAGAACCTTATCCATTCCTTTGAATTTATTGCATAAATAGCAGGTCGTACAACAAAAACTTTTAAAAACATTACCATGTGATATGATGAGAGGATGTGTATATCAGAAACCACCAACCAGAACATCTGGAAATGGTGTCGAACACCACTTGACCTCTTGGTTACTGTCTGAGCTTTCCCCGTTCAATGTAAGTGTGAACTTAGTTTTGATGGCTTAAACTCTTCATCATATTTGTATTCCGTCCGTCTCATTTATGTGAAGGTATTTTACGGGGCACTAAATTTAAGAAATTAAAATACTTTTGACGTGTAAGTCAAATATATAAATAGTTACATGTCTTCTGAAGAGCACTGTCCTATAGGTACAACTACATGTGATTATGAGGTCATTTCAATTTATCCTGGTACTGTTTTTGTTGACTATCCACGTCTGACTTTACAGACATGTTATTCAGGCATTTAATCTTGTATAAAGTGAGAAAGATTTGCTTTGTACTTTAGGAACATCGGATGGATTCCTTGTAAGAACGGACTGCAATTTGTAGATTTGCTTGGCACTGGAAATCATTGGTAAAAAAAAAAAAAAAAAAAAGAATCCCACGACTACTTAATATGTAAGTATGGTGCTTGAAGGAGTTTTGATTGATACTTGTTTAGATTTATAATTAAAGGTTGGTGTTTGATCACTTTTTCTGAAATTTGCACAGGAAAAAGTTATATCTATAAAGATCCTTGCATATTACAGCAGCTGTTATTTAGCTATGATCTTATGAGGTTTTTTTTTT